TGGCAAAGGTGCTTTTAAAAGGCCACAGGTCTAGAGTCAGCACTGGAGTTTTCAAAGCTATTGATGCAGGTTGGACACTTGTGTGCAAATGCCAGAGGAGTGGGGAGATCTGCTAAGCAGGAGGATGAGGATAAATTCACCCTCCTCGGTCCTCAGAGGAGAGGAAACAGCAAAAGCACTTAAAACTCTTCAGTGTAAATCAGCTGGCCAGGCAGGAGTGAAGAGGATTCAATGTCTTGAGGGGAAGGTGCTGTCTTGTGTCCTGGCTGGTCTCTGTCAGCTGCTCTGCCCCTGCTTGTTCAACCCCCTTGTGCTGCTGGTTCATGTTCTTTCCTGCTCTTCTTCGGGTTCCTCTTGCCTTCATTCCCCGTGACTGTAAGAGCAGAGGGAGGTTTAAAGTACATTTAATGAAACTGGGCCTATGAACCATTGTTTGATGGCTGTGTGCTCCTTACCTCAGAAAAGAAACAACTTGATACTCATGAGGGCATTGAAGGCGATGCTCTTTGCCAGCAGGACTCTCAAACCCAACACAGCCATGGACAGCATGTTCACTCTCTGCCCGTCAGGATCTGCTCAGTGACCAGAAAAGAGGAGAGAGTTCATGGTCTAGGTTTTGATGTTGTGATCGTGGCAGAAATTGGAAAAACCCCAGGTGACCCAGAGAAAGGAAGAGCAGCAAAGGAACAGACGATAGAGAACTTGGCAAGAACAGGGGAGCCCAGGGTCAGTGTCCATTGCTTTTTGCTTCCTGGGGCTTGTGTGTAACTGCAGGAACAACCTTGGAACAGCAGCTTGTGTCTGCTGAACATGTTGTGTTGTGACTCCTGTGCCCTGGAGAAAAGACATTTCCATGCCTTTATCCCCCAGAGAGTGATGGGACTGTACAATGTGTTTGGGTAACTCACCTTGTGCAGATGTGTCTGTGCTGTTGCAGACCCTCTTACTGGCCTCTGTTTCTGGTTCTTCATTCTCCTCTTCTGTAGCTTGATAAGGAAAAGACATTTTAATCTATATCCATGTTTTATAAAGCATTAAAAATTTGTTCAGGTGGCATTTGCCGTAGGAACCAGGGGAATGAGGAGACTGGGCCTCAGCTGGTCAGGATTAATTCCAACATTAATTTCAGGTGAAAAGTCCTCCATACAATTGCAGGAAACAGTAGAATTCCTGCAGTGTTTTGGTATTATTTTCTGAATGATCTTCAAGCCTAAAAAAGCAATACCTCAAAATATTTAGTTTATTTATTTAGTTAAAAACTCTAACAAGACACCCCATGTTTTAATTTTTTCTTGATATTGGAAAGGCTGTTCCAGCTTCTACTGCATGGTGAATATTAGGTACAGGGTAAAATGTTTAGTCTCAAGGAAATTCACGTTTTAAAAAAATAGAGTCTGTCTTCCTTATTCTCCAAAAAAAAAGCATCTCCACATAATTAAATAGTTGAAAGCATTTCTTCCAGATGCTTTGAAACATCTTTCAGCTCTCCCTGCTGAAATACCAAACGGCTTTCTCATTTCTGCTGCCTGCCCAGGGCAGTGCTGTCACAAAGGAGAACACAAAGCCCCACGGGTCACTGTCTCCAGAAATAAATGACAGTTGTGCCACCAAACTGTACCTGGCTGTGATGTTATTGCGCTGTTGGCAAATTTGGCTGTGCAGGTCACCTCTGTGTCTTGTGTCACATTGACCACCTTAATTGCATTGTACAGCCCCTCTGATGTCAAAATGGATCTGCTCTGTTCATACACCACCTCCGTAGCAGGCATCTCCAAGCTGATGTTCTTTGTAATGAAGTTCCTTGCCAAACAAGCTGCTTTCCCAGTGCTGCCACCTTCTTTCAGTTTCCTTGATTTCATCACAATGACTTGAGGGAGGGAAGTTTTTGGAATATCTGTAAAGAAAAGCATGCTTTGGACGGGACTGATTTTACCAAGTGCTGCCTGACTGAAAATTCACATGTACTCTAGCTGTGAATAATCTGTATTCATTTACTCATTCTCATTTACTGTCTTTTATGTCATTATTCCTTGCCATTAGAGGTACAAGTAAAGAAACAAGATTGCTTAAACTCTCACCCATTCTCTCTTACAAGAAAACTATTGCTCTCAATAGTATGTAGTAGCAAACAAATCATTGTGATTCCATGATTTGTTTTTCAAACAAAAGACATTTGCCTCCAGGTCAGGTCGTATGTGGAAAATCAAGGGAGATCTCAAAAAGCAATGTCAGCACTTAACTCAGACAAACAATTTGAATTAGAGTAAAAACATGGTACTGAAAGGAATCATTCAGCAGCCTTCCTTGCCAGAAAGGGCTCAGCTCCTGAGAGGCTGTCAGACACATCCACAAAGATTTTACATGTCTAGCTTGACAGGAGCATCCTGAGGGGTCCCCTGAGATAAAGAAGGTGCATTAGGCTTTCCATTTGGTGTGGTGATTGCCTGGCAGTCAGGTCAAGAGATCCCTCAGGTCTAACATTTTGTTCACCCTAGGATACTGATGGAAGTTTGATCAAGGGTCTCTGATTTTACATCCTTTCCCCATCAGCCCCATGCCACTGCTGAGGAACTGAGGTGAAAGCCAAATGGTGCTCTGCCACAACTTCATGGGTCATGTCCTGACCAAACAGGCAGAACTACACACTTAAAATGCGTATCAGTATCTCCCAAAGGAATTCAGAACCAAAAGGGAAACGTTTCTCACATCCTTGAAATTTTGGCTTCAACTTAGTAAGCATTTCAGCAGACTCAAAAGGGACTTGGATAGTTCAGGCTCAATGTCTTTTACTGTCCAGCAGAATCCCAGAGTCTCTGTGCAGCTCTGAACATTTCCTGTCTTTAGCTAGGAAAAGAAAACCATCAAACAGCATTTAAAGAAGAGGTCTTTCTTCAGAATGATATCCTTGCATTCCTTTGTCCCTTTGGAATGGAAAGTGCACTGAGATTGTTCCCAAATAAACATTTATGCCCATGCAACATATCCTACAGACATGGACAGATATTAGGCAGCACCCAAGGCAGTGCCATGCCCTTCTGGAAAGAGAGCAGGAGGTTTTAGGGATGTAAAATAACATGCAACATTCTTGCCGCACTTTAAAGACATGCTGACCACTGTAAACACAGCAACAATTTGTGAGGGATGCCCCTGAATCTTTAGGATAACACAGATCAACTTCAAAAACCCTACTGCCACCCCTACATTCTCATTCCCATAAAAAACCTCGTATTGACATGTGCCTCTTTTGTACATTGTGGAATTCCAGATAAAGGTAGGAATAACTAAGGCTTCTTATAATCCCTACTCCCCACACTGGTCTTTCCAGAGCCCACACAACCTGGGAGCCAATTGTCTTTCATTCCAGCAGTTTATTGGATATCAGGCACTTGTGAGAATTTAAGCCCAAGGCCATTTAACCTCCTTGCTCCTCCTGTGTCCCCAGGCCAGTGGAGTTACTTCCCTGGGGACACACTCAGTGTGGTGCTGGCATCCAAGCAGAACTTCTCAAACCAGGCAGTTACAGATGTGTCTCAGAACTCCTCAGCAGTGTGAGCTCTTCCCTGAGCTCTGCATTCCTGCCCCAAGCCAGTCAGTGGAAATCCACTGGAGAACTGGACACTTGACAGTAAATTTGAGTCAGTGCTGCCCAAGCTGGGAAGAAGTTATCACGTGCTAAGCAGAGCCCTGATGGCATTTGGGGATCATGGAATAATGGTGCTATGCACAGTCAGCCCAGGTGTTCCTGGGAAACCTTCCTGAGCAGATGCAAGCTGAGGATTTGGCTTGAAAGCCTGGCTGGAAAGCAAGTGCACTCAAGAGATTGTTGCAGCTGCAAATTCTTTCATTGAACCCAAACCTTTGAATTCCATTTTCACCCCCACCTCAATTTTAATTGAAATTTGAGAAATAAAGGAATGTCACTTACTTGGTACAACTGTGAGTGTCGTCCCTGGTCCAAATACAAGCTTAGCTGTCCCACACTGCTAGGACTCATTCCAATAACCCACTCTTTCCACATGGTATTCAAAAGTGTTGTAAAAATGGGCAATGAAAAGCCATTAGTCCTAATTATCCATGGGTGCAGGTTTATGAGGAGATCCAGAGGTACATTTACTTCCAAAACTGGAAAAGGAAAGAAAGTTAATGGAATAGTTCTGTGATTTCACATAGCTTGATTGAGTATAGAATTTTAAACTTCTCCTTTTCTTCCACCTTTTAGAACCCCCATGAGCTCTTTTATACATCCAGGGTAAAAGGCAATATAGAAAGAATGTTCTATTTTTTCTTCTTTATCCTTACAATCACCCATCTCCTTTTTCTCCCAAAATATCTCACCTTTTTTCCCTCTTTCTGTTTTTGTACAGGTCCCTATGCTGTTTGTATCGTTGTGATATCCCATCCACCCAAACACAGTGATACATTTCATAGCAAAAACTGTCTCTGTTCCACTACACAGAATTTTGGATTGTACAGGCAGTCACATGACTTCCTCAGTGGTTTAAGACCCAACGTACCACAGGAGGAAACACCATATGGCTTTCAAGGAAGGATCTAAAATAATAGCAGAAAGGTTGATATGTAAGTGAGAACTTGGGGATTACATGGCAGCTCTGAAAAGTCTGAGAGAGTTAAGCTGCACAGAAAGCAGGAAAATTACCAGTTCTTCACACATTATTTCCAAGCATTCCTTGCAGTGCAGTCTATTTCCCCTACTTCTCTTCTTTTGGGTACTAGTGGTAGTGTGATAGAAGTCCTGGGATGTAGCAGGCTGGCTCTGGGGGTGTTGGGAGGAATGGATTAAGAGCAGAAGAGTCAGAGGGATCATAATTTGCTCACATGATCTTCCAGCTCAGAATTACCCTTGACAACCCAGGGATAAATGCATCCAGGAATTCTCTAGCATGGACCCAGTTTAGACGCCAGTTTTTGGGCAGTATTAAGTGATTGGATAGAGAATGTCGCAGTGCAGCACACAGGTGTTGGGTCATTGGATCACTAAGGAAAATAAGTTACTTGGCATTTGTTGATTGGGTAAACAGAGATATAAAGGACCTCGAAAAAGATTTTTGTTAGCCATTTTGCACCTTTCTATCTTCGTGCATGTAACTCCTTGTACCCAGTATACATGTAATGTAGATAAAAGAAGAATAAACAACCAAGTCTGAACAAGAGAAAACTGCCTCTCTCTCATCAATCTTCTGCCCAAGGGGGAAAAAGAACCCAACTGCAAGTGTCCCATCAGGACATGCAATGACTGGGTAGATGAGATGTTTTTAGATTTGCGTTTTTTTTCTCATTATCCAACTCTAACTTGATTCACCAAGAATTAAATTCCTTTCCCCAAATCCTTGTGTTTTCTCACGGTGACAGTGCTGCGACAGCTCCCTGTCGTCACCTTAATTCACAAGGCTTAATTGCATATTTATCCCATGCCTAATTGCAGAGGACAACTCAGACAGCAACTTGCTGAGCACCTGGAGGACAAACAAATTCATCACCCCTTCTCAACTCCTTCTTCCTGATCAGGTCCTGTGTTGCAGCCACACAGTGTCATCCCTGCTGATCTGACCTTCCTAAACAGCCTGGCTGCATCCAGCACAGCACTCTGGAGGCTCCAGGAACACATCTCCATCATCCCATGGCTCCGCAGCCAAGGCACAGAGGAAAAATGAGGCTGTGCTGGAGCCCAGGCAACGTGCATGAAACGTGCACCTCCCCAAATAAACAGCCTCTGCAGTTCCCAGAACAGATCCTCCTGTACCATAAATGGTACCAGCCCTTCTGCCACCCCTCCCTCCAGTGGCTTTTTAGTCTCTACTGGAAGGCTTTTCTCCCTTCCAATGCCACTTTTAGTGCCACCAAGCCCAAGAGGGTTATTTCCTGCACCTGCTGTTTCCTGACAAGAGCCCTGGGGAGCAGCTGCAAGAAGGAAATGCTGAGAGATCCATTTTCCCCATCTGTCAGTTTTTGATCTATTCTGCTACAGAGCTACTCCAGGGTGATTCTGCTCCACAGTAATACATTGCTTCATCCCCTTGCTTTGCTGCCAGGATCTGCAGTGTCGATGTGTCCTTGGAACTGTGAAGTGATACCTTAAAGCGATCTTGGAAATCCTCTCCATAGAAATCATCCTCATGGCAAATAAATCTGAGAGAGCCTTTTGGGCCCTGATGGTACCAGTACATGTAGTAGCTGTTCATATCACCTCTCTTCATGGAGCACTGGAATGTGACTGCATCTCCCTCTTGCACAGTCAGTTCCCTGGGGTGCTGCTCCAAGGCCATCTGGCCAGTGACAGCTGCAGAGAGCAAGAACAAGCCACAGTCACTCCAAGATTCAGCAAAGGTCAGGTCAATGCTGGTGGGGTTTGGAACGGCACTGGACAATTGGGAGGATAAAATGCTCCTCTTCGCAGCCAGCTGACACAGATGGGCAGAGCTGGCAGCAGCTATCAAGGCTCACAAGGAAGGAGACACCACATTTCCCTCCCTGCTTTTTAGTGTCAGACAGGAAGTTTTTTTCTGATTTTCCCCAAAGCAGCAGGAAGGATTTGCACCATGGGAAAATAAATCCCTTTGTCCTTGCCAGGACAGGATGGCGAGGAACCCACTCTGCTGCCCCTGCAAGTGCTCTAGATGAGCAGAGGAAAGACAAAGGCCTGTCACGGGCAATGGGGCTGGGTCCCTGTGCTGCCATCCCCCAGCTGGGCTGTGCCACAGGGGCCGCAGTGCCCCAGGAGCAGTGTCCAGTGCCAGGCCAAAGCGCTGGGCCCCAAGAGCTGAGTGCAGCAGGGAGGTGCCCTGCGTGTGCCCAGGCTGCAGAGGAGGCAGCTTGGATGGAGGTGCCGAGCTCCTGGCCAGAAGAGGAGCAGGGCTGCTCTCACCGTGCTCCACAGGCACGGCTGGGCAGCTCGAGCCGGGGACCAGAGCCGGCTGCAAGCGCTCAGCACAGCTCCCCAGAGCCGTGCAGAGCCCAGGGCCACGCTCAGCCCCTGGGGCATCAGCCCTTCCCTTCACTTACCTACAATGGGCAAGAAGCCCACGCACAGGGCACTCCACATGGCCAGGCCCGCTCCGTCTGGCCTCTCTCCACCTTCTCTCTGCCTGCACAACAGCTCTGCCCAGCCCTGCCCTGCCTGGGCCTCTGTCCCTGCACTCAGGCCCACTCCCTGCTGGTCCCTCCCTCAGTCTGTGACAACCCTCAGTCTGTGACAACAGAGACGGGGAGAGGTGGGGCAGGAGGAGCAGAACTTGAAGCTCTTGGTGCCTTCCTGGGTGTCTCTCACCCTGTGTGCTCCCCATCTTTCCTTTAAGCCCTCCCCATATTCACACTTTCTGTGATCCTGTGAAAGAGCCTCAGGCTTGGTTTGGAGTGGGTCAGTGGGAACACTAAATTGGGAAATATCATTCCTGAACCACAGCAGCCTTATTTGGCATCTAGTGTGTGGCACGAAGGGTGGAGAGAAGAACAGATGTGCCCAGAGTGGGTTGGAAACAAATCTGATCCAAGTATTACTTGTATTAGCAATGGAGCCACTGGTGCCAATGCTGCTTGGGCTGTGGCTGTGGCTGTGGTAGCTAAGCCTGTGTATGTTCCTGTATGTGCTCCTCATGATGATATTGTGCAGGGCTGTGGGCATTGGCAAGGGCATTGGGAAGTGGACAGAAACTCTCAGCCTCTGGGGGTGACTCCTGTCAAGTGTTAGAGAAAGATATTCTCCCAAGGATGATCTAGCAGTGCGCCCAAGTGGGTGGAACACCGTGGCCAGGGACTCTATTTGTCATTAAAATAGAACTGTATGTGCAAAATGCCTGTTAGAGATGCCCAGTAATGAAGGCTGGGGTGTCTCTACTCTGTCTGCTTGCAGGTTATGTTTCAATACAGGTGACAAAAGATGAAGTGTCCTGATGATGGGAGGCTTTGGTGTAGTCAGGAATCAACCAAGGCTCTCCCTACAGAAATCATAGAGTTGGTATCTATTTTCAAAGCTGTGCTTTGGAAAGGCAGACATTCCCAGGAGCACTGCACTCCCCAGTGCTGAATAGTTTTACAGGGGAAGATCAGGTTCCGAATCCTTCAGTTCAGACCATATCTGCTGACTGAAATATAAGGGAGAGAAAGACAACTTGCCTCACAGTCAGGTAAATACCCATCCTCCTAATGGGTTTCTTTTTACTGGAGATCTAATTTTATCCAGAGCTGTTTAGTATTTTGGGACACAAAAGAGATAGGTCAGGTTATGTCCAGCTGATGCAGGAATAAGATTATTATGGAGTATTTTTATTGCTGTATAAGGAAACAGAAGGATTAAGTTGTACAAAAAGCTATTTCATATTAACCATTCTCTTGGAGTTCTTCATGACGCTTTCCCACATAACCTCTTGGGGAGAGGTTTATTCTTTCAGGATGCTTTTAATATTCTCAGCCACAGGAGAGAGCTCTCACCATTCTGACTTGCTCAGCAGGACAGATGTCAGACACCACACTCTATGAGTGAGACTCACCAAGGGGGAGGAAAAATAAATGTCATGTGCTGGAGGTGAAAATTCTCCTCAAACTACTTTAAAAGTTTTATTGAAGTTCACATTGTGGGTGGTTTGTCCCTGAAACTACTGGAAAAACAACAACTCTCCAACAGCATTTTTTAGTGTTAGAGAATCAAGGCATGACTTTCTTTTGGCCAGGATGTTGTTCTGGCCAGGATGTGCTACAGAAAGAATTTAATCCACTCATTGAGCAGGTTGTGAATCAAGGCATGACTTTCTTTTGGCCAGGATGTTGTTCTGGCCAGGATGTGCTACAGAAAGAATTTAATCCACTCATTGAGCAGGTTGTGCAGAGAAAATCCTTCCATTACTCAAGGTTTTCACAGGATTTTTCTTGTACTTATACAGTCAAAACCCAGGGAAATTCATTGATTCAATGTTCATTGGTCCCAAGTTCCACAGTTTGTAGGGTTTGGTTTCCTATTGATCCCTTCACCCTTGATGCTATTTCAGTTCTCATTCTTCATTCAATAGAGGTAGTACTGATAAAATACATTGTACCAAAGAGTTCTGCTTAAAATCATCCTGCATTATTTTGGTATCATGGGATCCCTTACAGAACAATATTGTTTATGCAGATTTCAGGATAATTGCTCATGCAAAGATGCATCATTTAACAGAGGGTATTTATAATGTGGAGCACAGTTTCTCTACCAAACATTCCTCATCTTATGTCAGCTGGGAGAGCTGCACATTCTGTCCCCTTATGTGGCATTAACCACACTAACACAATCTGTTACTGTTGGACTGCACAAAAGCTCCCAGATGTGGGGTTTCTTCTGGACACAATCCAATTCTCCTGTTTTCTTAAGCTGCATGTTCTGCATTGCCAATGCAAAGTGAAAAGCCACTGCTTAGTGGGGGCAGTCTGGGACCCTGTCATGAAGTGAGGGCTTTAGGTCAATGAAACCCTGACTGTCAGAGGGGTCAGCAAGAGCAGGATTCATAGAAATTTTCCAAAGGGTGGCACAGTCCAACAGCAACACTCATCCTGCAGCTTTATTACGTGGATGCATCAGGAACAGGAGCATTGAACTGGAATTAATTTGGAAAGATTGGTGCAGAGATGGAGGGCAAGAAAGGGGGAGAGCTGTAAAAGGATGTCCCTCCCAGGGAGTCAAGAGGTACAGAAATGACTCCCCTGCTTTCTAAACTCCTTCTCAGAGGAGGTGTGCATGGATCCAATCCTAGTCCCAGACTTCATCAAGACTTTATAACTAAGGGATTATAACAGCACTTAATCATTGACCTTTCCTTCCTGTCCATCTGATTCCATCAGTTTTTGTCTAAGGGAGTATTCTCAAAATAGAAATCTGCCTGAGAGATTGGGAAAAGGTGTGGAGTGCTTGAGAAAAAGCTTCTGGGTGTCATTGGAAGATCAGGATAAAAACACTGGTGAATGGCTCCCCACAATTTGTGTTATGGTGGTGGAATGCACTAAATGAGCATTTCACTGGATTTGGATTTGCCATGGAAATTCCACAGAGTTTCTGCAAGGGCTGGGGGTTTTCTCTGGGTGTCTGCAGGGCCTGAGGGTCTGACCTGACCCAGCTTAAGGCAGCTCACCTTGCCATGTCCTCTGCAGAGGCTCTGTTGAAGCCAGCAGGATCTCAGGCAGAGGGAGGAAAGGCTTTTTGCCCTTCAGGATGTGGTTAAGTTGTTTTTTCAAAAGCAGGGGAGGGTTGGTGCTGCCTGGTGGAACTGAGTCAGAAATGGTGACCACAGCATCCTGCCTGTTGCTTGTGAGAGGGCCATGAGCTGGGGAAGGTGTGTGCTGGGCTCTGGAAGGTAAGAACCAAGTTGCTATGGAAACTATCACTGCATCAAACCACCCGATGTTATTGCCTGGTGGCCCCTTCCCCCTATCAGAGAGTGCAAAACAACAGCAGGGTTTCTTCTCTGCTGATGTGAGCATTGTCCTCCCTCATGCCTTCAGCAAGGACTCTCCTCACTGAGGCTCTTGAATGTGCCAGAGACACTTCCCTGCAGAATCTGGGAAAGACAAAATCAGCCAACAGGGAATCTGCATTATCAAAGCTGGGTTTCTAATCCCAGTGGGCTTTAGGTGAGTTGGATTTCAGCTGTCCCCATCCTGCTTTGGAAGAAAAAGCACAGAAACCCCACAGCGTTTTGGCCTGGCAGTACTTTATTTTTGTCACTACTACACGAACCTAAAGTGCACATGAGACACATTTGGCAGAATAGAGACTTCATAAAGAAATGAACATTTTCTGTTTGAATTCAATCACTTCAGATCCTACACAGTTCTTCTCATCTGCAATACACACTTGATGTTATTAAATCTGTCTAAAACCCAGAGCCAGGAATGGCAGCTCCAGGGCTTGAATTCTCTCAGCAGTAACACTCCACTTCTAGAGGCAGTAACACAACATGCCTGGCAAAGGTGCTTTTAAAAGGCCACAGGTCTAGAGTCAGCACTGGAGTTTTCAAAGCTATTGATGCAGGTTGGACACTTGTGTGCAAATGCCAGAGGAGTGGGGAGATCTGCTAAGCAGGAGGATGAGGATAAATTCACCCTCCTCAGTCCTCAGAGGAGAGGAAACAGCAAAAGCACTTAAAACTCTTCAGTGTAAATCAGCTGGCCAGGCAGGAGTGAAGAGGATTCAATGTCTTGAGGGGAAGGTGCTGTCTTGTGTCCTGGCTGGTCTCTGTCAGCTGCTCTGCCCCTGCTTGTTCAACCCCCTTGTGCTGCTGGTTCATGTTCTTTCCTGCTCTTCTTCGGGTTCCTCTTGCCTTCATTCCCCGTGACTGGAAGAGCAGAGGGAGGTTTAAAGTACATTTAATGAAACTGGGCCTATGAACCATTGTTTGATGGCTGTGTGCTCCTTACCTCAGAAAAGA